AATCTTGGGATGTATTTTTATAAAGCCAGTGATTTTAACTGCATTATCTGAATCCAGACATTGATAAATGTAGTTTAAAAAGAAAAAGCCCCTTTTCTTTTATATAGTACCCAGTTATTTTTGGATTCTACTTAAAATCTATTTTTCATATGAAAATAAAAGATACATTTAATTTGGGTCTGTCATCTTTTACATTTCACAGGTTTTTCTTTTATGACCAAGAAAATGACAATATTCCAGATGGTTTTCTGTCTTTTACCTGGAGGTTGATGGGAGGACACACCAATGAATATTTCATGATTCAGAAAGACCTGTTATAAAACAACTGCACTTCAAATGCTTTTCCTTAGCTAAAAACATTAATTTTTTCATGGAAAATTAGGAATGGTTTATACTTTTGGAGACTCTGACTCAATGATAAACTCATGCTATTCAGACTTTCAAATACTCGAACTTCTATAATTAGCAGCTCAACTCTACGACCTATACATTTCTTTAAAAACAGCAACTATCACATTTGTGAGGTAGGAGAACTGCCTCCAAGCTATTCCTAAGAACTGTCTCGGTCACTAGACAGCTTCTGAGCCACAACCAGCATCTGACCATGTTACAATAGAGAACATCGCAGGGCAGCAATACGTCACCAAGGGTTTATATTCCTAAAATGTTTTGACTAGAACTGGATCGCTAAGATACGGGATAAATACAACTATAATAAAGACAATGGACGTGACATACAGTTTATTAACTGACATTGTATGTTTTAGAAGACATCTATTTCCAAAACAAAATTTGTCTTTTGTATTCATTCTCTTTCACTTTCTCAAGTCTTGGCAAAATGTTTACTGGCCTGGCCTATCAAGCTATTGACATTGTTCAGGGAGAGTTTTCTGTGCCTCTGCCACACAAGCCCTCTGTATCCCCAAACAGGAATGGAAGGGATCTAATTTGCTAAGGTGAGAGAACTGAACCACTCTGTTTTGTTTTGTTTAAGGCACACTTTAAAAAGCTGATGTATGGGGAAAAAAGTTCTCAAACTGTGGTCTTACAGAATTAGAGAAGGTAATGAACATGGGGAGCCAAACACAAAACTTACCCTTTCCAGTGTCAAAAACTTTTTCTTTTTTTTTTTTTGTGGTACTGGGGTTTGAATTTAGGGCTTAACACTTATGAGGCAGGCCCACTATCACTTGAGCCACGATCCCAGCCCTTTTTGCTTCTGTTAATTTTTGGATAGGATCTTGTGCTTTTGCCCAGAGCCAGCCTCGGCCAGAACGTGATCTTTACAGGTGCATACCACCACACCAAACTATCATCTGTTGACACAGGGTCTTGCTGCGACCCTCCCAATCTCCACCTCCCCAAGTATCTGAGATTATAGGCATGAGTACCCAGCCCCAAAATTTTCCTCAGTATTTCACTACCTCTAGTATTATGTATACACCACCACCACCACACCACCCCCTCTCAAAAAAAAATCATGGTTATTGCATCAAACACTTTTATTACCCCTGTAAAATACATGAACACGAACTGGACTGTCTAGCGCATGAACAGTTCTGAGCACCAGTTACTGATCAGAAGGTCTCTTCAGTGGCTCAAGGGCAATGAGTAATCCAGAAAAGCAAATGACCTGATTAAGCAGTAAATTCATGAGTTAAAAATTAAAAGAATTTCTCTCCAAGGTGTACTGCCCAGTGTCTGGCACACAGATGTTATAATATGACAATTTGCTCCTCTCTTTTTAAGCACCCAAGTTTATTATAGGGGATTATACATGCAAGTAATAGAACCTGACCCTAGTAACAGTAAAGGGAGAACACTATTAGCCACCACATGTGCTGGCTTCAAACTAAACGATGACTGGAAACATTGCAAAGATGATGTAAATACAAGGATAAAACTGCAGTTCAATTATTTAGTGATGTGTCTTATAGCTAAATACTTAGGCCTGTCTTTATACAACAGATAAGCACAGTTCTGCAATAAACTGACAACTTAAACCAAGTAACTGTTTTTCTGAAAAAAATAAGCCCTAATATAGTTCCGAAAATAATGCAACCAATTTTAATTTAATCTAGATACAAGTGCTTTATTTACAAATATTTAGATTAATAGCATTTTGATACATCAAATGAAGAGTACAGCAGTCTGAATAAATCCTGTCACAACATTTAGACCCATGTAACTACCTTTGGGAACCAGGATATTGCACCTAAACAAGCCACAGTCTTGTGACTGCTATCTTATATCCCAATGGGTGGTTTGTTTGCTTTGTTTTGTAAATATATACACACCAGCAGGTCATGGTCCCAGGGTCCCTTGTGGTGCAATAGTGTAAGCAAAATGGATCACTGTAAGCCTTTAACAGACAAACCAATCTACTCCAGGAATCTTACTTTTTTTAAAAAGTTAAAGACAAAAATAAAAAGTCCACAACAAACCAAATCCTATTTTCTGCACATTCCAGTTTTGGCTTTTATTTAACATTGACTATACAATACTCGAACTACCATGTTTATAACCCAGGAAGATTTAATTTTACCTTAGTGTCTGTAAAGAGGGATTTAAAATGTATATTTTAAACACATCAGTTCAGCTGAGTGCATTTTATATCATATGCTCAGGCTTACTTATCCTACACTTCAAACAACTTCTCAATTCCCAGTCACAGAACCATAAACTCAACTAGAACTCAATCAACAGAAGAACTTAGTAAAACTCTTAAGTTTGTTGTCTGAAGAAGTAAGATTGTTTCTCTTCCAAGAAGATATTCTTTCAGTGGCCAAACCACCTTGTGCAGAGGTGGGTACTTGTACTATCAGCACAAACACTGAAACACCATTAGAAACTTTCCCTTTTACAAAATAACGTATGTCAACATGACATACGCCTCATGCTATGAACAAATGGATAATCTTAAATTATTTAATTGTAGTGTTAAAATGCACAATTTAAAATCCCTTAATAGCAGACTTGCGGTTCTGGCTATCTGGTTCAGAATCTGACCATTCCAAGAAGACAAAGGTATAAAAGCTTAATATGTGCAATAATAAACCCAGCCTTTTTTCTTTTTCTATACAGTAAGGCAAGAATGCAGCCTGTAATGCAAAACGTTTACAGAAAGAGAAAAGCAGGTTAGCACGTTACTGATTGCACAAGAACAATTAAGAAAATCAGCAGGTAAGCCACAGTGCAAAGATGGAATAGAATCTGCTAGTGTTAATCTGATGATGCTAGGAGCACTTTCCAGCATTATGTCCCCAAACACTGCCAGCACCAAGGAGTGGAGCCAGTAGGTATTACCTGTGAACTGCAGTTGTGTCTATTTCCGTGTGTGAAATGGAGTAACATGGTCACATATAGGTCATACTGTACAAACTGGTATTTTATACTGTTCCAATGCCAGTAATCAATTTATTTTCTTCATTAAAGTAATATACACAGAATGTAGTTAGTTCGGTTCCTTCAAATTTTATACATATTTACTTTCTGCTAAAGAGAAAAGGATAAAATGGTATATATATAAAAAAAAGATAAAGCTATTAAGCACAAGAGAAAAGATAAATGGGTGTTTTTCCCTGTGCAAGGATAAGCAAACCTCATCAAGAGCAATGCCACACCTACAACAGGGAATTTATCCAACAAAAAACAAAAACAAAAGCAGCTGTAGAACACCCCCCTCCCATCTGAAGTCATTTCACAGCAATGAAATTGGTTACAACAGACACATTGGAACGGTTAAAGTTGGGGAAAAAGACCAAAGATATCAAATTAAACCGTACAGTGAGACAAAGCCTTGCCAAAAAGAGTAAAAATCATCAAGTCCAGCATCAGTGCTCAGTTTAAATCAAATGTTGGTGACATACCTATCACGAGGACGATCAGGGGGAAAAAAGTCTAGATTTACCATGCAGGAGAGATTTATTACTCTACTTGCCTTTGATAACCTGATTACATCTAGTTGTTTAGCAGTTTAGTATTATGTTAAACTGTTTGTACAATAGAGTTGTTTTTTCTTTTTCTTTTTTTTAATTAAACCCAGTAAGATGTACAGAAGACAACAAGGCAGTAAAAAGTACTGCTTCCAACAGACAGAGGTGAAAGGTCAAATGAGGGGCCACAGCAAAGAGGTCACTAGCAGCCACAGCCTTCTCTCTGGGGTTGGGGTTCACTGGTTAGCCGTCCTCCCTGAGGGGCTGAGGGTTTGTGTTGTACACCAGATTCGGCAGCATTCAGATCCAGGCTTCCATCCTGAATGTTCTGATAGATTTTCTTGGCAGCCTCAAGGAAAGCATCTTCTACATTCTCTCCCCTAAGAGGCAATTTACAACTTTATTCAAGAACCACTGCTTCCTACAAGAGACAAGACATTATACACTAACCTTTTGCTAACCTTTATCAACTGCCATGATGTCTTCAACTTAGCCACTGTCATCTAACAAGAGCCTGCCAGAAGGCTGAGCTAAGAGAACATGGGAAAAGGTTTTCGGTGTGGAGCACATAAACACAGTACTAAGCTGCTCTACAAACTCCACTTGTGCTAATGCTACACGTTAACATATATATCATGAGCAGTGAGGTGGGCCTCTTCTGTGACAAGAGGCTTCCCCAAACAAAAATGCCATCTCTCCAACATACTGAACGGGATCCTAGGATTTGTATGGTTAGATGAGTCAAGTATGAATTGTGCTGTTTTTAAGCACGTGGTGATACAATCATGCTTAGCCATGTTCACACTTCAGTTTTCTTGAGACTAACAGCACTGATAAGACTAAACAAAAACAGGCTAGCCTCCCCTTGCCACTGCAAGGACTTTTGGCCCTAATAAATGAAGAGCTAGGACTGGGAGTACTAGGGTTCAACAGTGGACATGGAAAAATTAATTAGAAAATACTCTTTATGCTTTTAATTAGTCACTGAGTATTCCCTTAGCTCATGCATTTATGGTAATCAGAAATATCACACAAACAGGTTGCCAAGCTTGCTTCAGTCTAAAATACCAAACTCAGCCTCAGTTCTGAAAGTAAAATGCAAACACGGTTTCACTCATTACCCTGGGTTACTTAAATGAGCATAATCAAGGCACAATTTCAAGTAACAAAAATTCACATTTTGAAATGTGAAACAGGAAGAGACATTTTCTTACTGTTCTTCCTGCCATTAAGCATTGCACATATACGTAACAGAGCACGTATCATATACATACATATGTGTACAGTTGTACACATTATATATATGGTTCTACTTTGAGAAACTGAATGTAACTGAAACATTCATCTGCATTTGAGCCATACTTACGTTTTTGCACTTGCTTCAAGGAACAATAAGCCTAAAAATAAAATTCAGACTATAATTAGGATATCTCAAACTAACTTACAACTGCATTCTCTTCTGCAGCTTCTGAATAAATTTCCTACCATAGTATTTTATGAAAGGTTATACAGTTTTGAAATGTAGAGCATCTTCATATTTGTCATTAAATAATTACACTACTCCTAACATAAGTCTCATAAAATCAAAAACGTATTTTATTTCCTCATTCTTGACATCTTCAGCAGTTTACTTTTTTTTTTTTAAATTGTCAATCCCATTTTTTCTTAGAAATTCTCCCAAGTGTGATCAGTAAGTCTTAAAAGAAACCCACCGTTTTCTTCAGCAAACTGTTTGGCTTCTTCATATGTAACATCTCTCTGTGCCTCCAAATCTGCTTTATTTCCTATGAGAATTATTACCTAATTCGTGGGCAAAAGAAAGATACCTTAAAACAAAAGGAACTATTTAAACCAAACATGCAAATTCTGAAATCCAAAAATATTGACAGAAAAAAAACAAGTGAGCCTAAAAAGAAAACCAACTACTAGCAGTTCTCCTGAGACTACAGAATCATAAAGACATTAATACAGAGAAGGATCTTAGCAATCACCTAGCAGATAGGCTGAAAACCTTTCTATAAAGGACAGATGGTATATTCTTGTAAAGAACAGAGAGCATCTTTTTTTTTT